ACCGTGGGAATTACGGGGGAAACAGAGAAGTAAATTACAGACGAATGGAGCAGGAGTACCATAAAGAACCAAGAGAAAACCGAAATAATTACGCAGACAGGCGGACAGAGCAGGTCAGAGAGAGGGAGAACATAAGATCAATGCCACAGCAGCGACAAGTGAATCAAATTTTACAACCGAACCGGGGTAAAGAGGAGGAGAATAAGATAGAAGTAGTTCAGGCGGAAGTCCATCGAACTGAAGCGGATTTTTAAGTAACCGTACTATGATCCAAAATGTCTACATGCACCCCAAAGAATTTATAGAACTGGAGGAGCATAGTACGGATTTTAATTATGATGAGCAAATTGTAACACAGTTACCAAGGATCAAGATCCAAGTAGAAGGAAAACCAGCAATAGCATTAATTGATACGGGTGCCGAGGTGTCGTTAATGGCCGAGAAATTTATAAAGGAACAGTTAGGGAGAATAGAACGGTATACGGTAGGGATTAAAGGGGTGAATTTAGCGTCGGCTAATCAGGCAAAATTTGCGTGTGTCAAAAGAAAATTCATTTTAGGAATCACAGTAGGGAATAGGAAGATCGAGCGGTCATTTCTAGTGTTAAATGGGATGAGCATTGATTGTATTATAGGGATGGACATTTTGTCGGAATATAAAGGGGTGGTTGATTTGGAAAAAGGGATATTTAAGATGGAGGACGTTGAGATTAAGTTAATGGAAGAAGGGCCGATAATAAGCAATAGGATTTTAAATTGTCAATTACATAAGATAGAAAGCGAAAGGGGGAAGGAAATTAGTACGGCAGTTCACTGTCATATGGATTATAAAAATGCAGTCATTCAACTATTAGAAGAAAATAAAGAATTGATAAATGAAGAAGTAAGGATGGCGACTGGGTATCAACATCGGTTGCAGGTAGATGAAACAAGGATGTACAAGACGCAAACGTATTCGGTACCTTATCATTACCGACAGGAGGTAAAACAAGTAATTAAGAAAATGTTGAGCGAAGGAATCATTGAACGTGCAAGTACAAATGTAATTAATCCTCTTGTAGTAGTAAAAAAAAAAGATGGGACAATTCGTCTGTGTTTGGATGCGAGGGAGTTGAATAAGAGGACTGAACCACAGTTTGAGTCACCGCAGAGGATAGAATCATTGATTGGGAGAATAGGACGAAATAAGTTATACACGAAGTTGGACCTGAAGAATTCATTTTGGCTAATACCGCTGGAAGCAGGATCAAGGAAGTTTACAGGATTTAGTGTTGATGGGAGTACGTACCAATTTAAAGTAGTACCTTTCGGATTAGCGAGTTCTTGCGCCGCTTTAGTCAGGGCTATGCAAGAAATTTTAGATAAATACGACTCGTTTTGTTTACATTATGTCGACGACATAATTATTTTTAGTAATACAGTAGAACAGCACAAGAAGCATTTAGAAATTATTTTGCGAACGTTAAATGAAAACGGGATGAAGTTGCATCTGGACAAATGTGAATTTTTCGCGAGAAATGTGAAATTTCTGGGGTTTGAGATAAATCAAAGGGGGAGTACGGTAGAAAGAAGTAGGTTAGAAGAGATAGGAAATTTCCCACGGCCGAATAATTTGAAGAAATTGAGGGGATTTCTCGGGCTGATGAATTATTATAGAAAATTTATACCGGAATTTTCAGGGTTATCGCTTTCGTTGGTGCAGTTATTACGAAAGGGGGAGAGATTTGTTTGGGACGACGAAAAAGAAGCAGCTTTTGTAAATTTAAAGAAAGCGTTATTAAACGGGATTGAATTATTTCATCCAGATTGGACGAAGGATTTTGTATTAAGGACGGATGCATCGGATCAAGCTGTAGCTGGGGTTTTAAGCCAGATCCAGGAAGGAGAGGACGTGCCTATTTGTTTTTTGTCGAGAGTATTGAGGGGACCGGAAGTTAGATATTCAATAGCGGAGAAAGAAATGTTGGCTATTATTTACTGTATAACTAAGTTGAAATTTTATTTAATAGGAAAAAAATTTACGATAGAGACAGACCATCGAGCGTTAACGCATCTGATGTCGACAAAATTTGCTAATAATCGCATTTATAGGTGGAGTTTGATACTACAGGAATTTACTTTTGAAATTAAGTACATCACAGGAAAAGACAATGTTGTGGCGGATATTTTATCTAGGAAAGGTTTGGAGAAAAGGGATTTGAAGACCGTAGAAATTTTGGTGAATAGAATGAAGAACACAGAAGAAATGTTTACTGTAGATAGGATAAGGGAAGATCAATCATCGGAAGAATTTATTAATTTGAGAAGGAAAATAAACGAGAAGGAAACGTACAAAGGGTGTTGTATAGATCGGACCGGGGTGATAATTAAGAAAATTGGGGAACAAGAGTTGTATGTAGTTACGAATGAATTTTATAATGAAATGTCTTCATACTTTCATATTGCGTATGGACATGCGGGGGTTAGGAAGATTTGGTTATTAATGCGCGAAAATTTTTATAGTAAGAGAGATTTAACAGTAGTTAAAGAAATGGTAAATAAATGTCATTTGTGTTGTTTGGGAAAATATAAAAATTTTGTAAATTATAATGAAATAAAAAGTATACGGACTAGAGAACCTTTGGAAATAGTAGCGATAGATTATTTGAGTAATTTGGTGAAAAGCGGGAGGGATAAGCACATTTTGGTGATGGTAGATTTATTTAGTCGTTTTACAAAATTATATGCGGTGTCAGCGTGCAACACCGAGAAAACAGTAGTTTTGATAGACAAATTTATTCAGGAGGTGGGTAAACCAAAAAAAATTTTAGCAGATAATGCAACGTACTTTAATAATGACAGATTTAGGGGGTATCTAGGAGAAAGGGAGATTAATTTAGGATTTTGTTCAATAAGACATCCGCAGGGAAATCCTTCGGAGAGGTTTATACAGGAAGTTATTAAGTATTTGAGAATGAGTTTGTTTAATGAACCTCATAAAAATTGGGGACGTTATGTAAAGCAAGTAGAAAGGTTTATTAATGAAACACCTTCAACAGTGACAGAGCAACCTCCGGTGTATGTTATGTTTGGGGTATATCCGGATAGACCGTGGGAGTTTAAGGGGGATGAGGAGGAACAATTTGAAAATCAGTTAGCAAAGATACGGGAAAAGGTTAGAAAAAAACAGGACAATTGGGTAAGAAAACAAAATGAGAAAGTCAAGAAAAAGGTTAAGTTTGAGATAGGAGATTTAGTTATTTTAAGAAAATTGAGGTTGGCTGATGGCCCGAAACAGATTAGTGCAAAATTATTGTTACCTTACGAGGGTCCTTACGTGATAAATAGGGGGTTTGGGGATAGTTACGAATTGAGGTTCAGGGAGTCAGATAGGATTAGGGGTAGATTTCATGTGAACATGTTGTACCGTTATGATGAGACCTCTGAGGAGGTGGGTTGAGATTGTTTAATGTTATTTTTTTTGTATTTATGTTATGTGTGGGATTTTTTATTGAGAAGCCCTGGATTAATTTAGAAAAGGGGGGAGGAAAAGAAAAGCGAGAATGGAAAAAGTTTAGGAAAAAGATTAGTAAATTAGTGGTAGTTCTTAAATTTTATACTAGGATGATGAAATTTCTCAGGCTCAGCTGGTGACGTCACCGTGCGGGGTTTCAGTAATGACTAGGGAGCTGTGTTAGGCGATCGTGTCCGAATACCTAAAGCAGGTCCCGAAGTTTTTTTTAAAGTTTTAATTTGGTAAATTGAAAAAAAAAACCCTGTAATTCCAATATTTTGTTTTGTTTTCATAGTCAGGGGAGGATTGTAATTTTGTGTTTTTGTGTTCAATTTAAAGGGGGAAAATGTTGTGTTATTTTGTTTTAGTTGTAACTTGAAAGAAATTATAGAGCGTCTGGATGTGACAATTTTGTTTAGTTCAATTAATTAACCGGGGGGTTATTAATAATTTGAGACACAGGATTGCGTAAATTTCATGTTATAGTTTTGGTTCAATTTCTTAGAAGTGTTCTGTTTTTATTTTATTCCTAGAATTTTTTTCGATGTAAATTTCTTTTTAAATTTTTATTTGCCGTTAACGAGGTATAGCGCGAAGTAGAGATAAGGTTCTTCGCAGAATTGCCGGGCGTACGTGCCGTTTAGCAAGAAGTTGAAAAATCGACGCTTTGCGTGATTGGCGGACGGGATGTTGAAGAAAGGAGAAGGGCTTTTGGCTTAAATAGAAAATTTTGGAAGAGAGCGGGGCTTTTTGGTCGTTACAAAGCCAACCGGCGCTTCTTCGGTTACGTTATTTTTGAATTTTGTGGAAGTTTTCCTGCGTAGTTGGATCCAGGTTTAATTAGAATTTTGTGTTTGCCGTTTAAGAAGAATTATTGAGAAGTTTAAGAAGTTTGTCGCCGTCCTGTTTGTTTTATTTTGCGGAAACACGGAAGTTTTGAATTTGTGGGTACCCGAAGAGAGAAGACGTCGGTGTTTGAGTGTTTGGTTTGCGTGATTGTTTACGGATACCTCTCTTTTTATCGGAATACGTTATTCGGACTAATTTTAAAAGTAAGTAGTAGTTAGTGTTTTGTTTTGTCTTGTTTTTTTTGTAATGTTTGAGTAATTTGTTTTTTTTTTGTGTGTGTCATTTATTTGTTTAAAATTGTAACAATTTGTAAAACAGAAATTTACGCAATTTTTTGTTTGAAATTAAACCAGTCATTGCAATCCAGGTTTTGTTTATTAGAGTCAAGGAGAGGTAATTGTCGGCGTCTCTTACTTTGTTTCAAGTTGATTAAATCTGGGGGTAAAGTTTCATATTGGAATTTAAGGATTTGGTTAAGCCACCTATTTATGTCATTGTTGGAATGCTGTAGGGTGGCAGAATCCAGCTGGACCTTGAGATGCGGATAAAAATTTTGTTTTCATTTTAATTAAAACTGAGCTAGTTAGAGGGAAATCGTGGGATTCCCAGAAGTGTAGGTTAGGTCTCACAACAATATACAACAATATAACATCAGGGTTGTAAATGAGTAAAACTAAAAGTGAAGCTCACGATATATAAAGAAAGAAATTCCGTAACAATTATTATGTTATGACAGTATAAATTATTAGGCCGATTAATACTAGTTTTTATGGGAATGTTTAAGGGAAGCAAACAATGAATAAAACATCAAGTGTGCGTACCATTAACCTAGTTAATAAACTTTTATATGTAAACCATTTCGAATAATAACAGTTTTGTTATAGTTTCTCATTTAAACCAACGTTTTTTTAGCTCGAGAGCTTCCACTAAATGAGAAAATAAAAAAAGGGATCCAGGAATTAAAATTGTTCTTAATCAGATGTTTAAATGCATTCGGGAACAATGAGTCGTGTAGCGTACACTAGTAAAGGAAGTTTCATTTTAAAGGAAGAAAGTAATGACTCTTTCAACACATTTTCAAGTGTTTTAATGCTTTTTGTCAATGTTGAATGAATACAGAAAGCGCATCAACAGATATTAACTTATTTATTTACAGATTTATTTAAAACCGATGCGATTGGAAAATTGCACCACGTTTACATCGTAAATACCTGTTCGTGCATTATGTGCTCTGCATTTGGTCGGTAATTATTTGTAATTTCTAATGCAATAGGGTTTTACCTTTCTTTCCAGTTTAATTCGATCTACAATGGAGATGGAGATTGACATAAATAACGTAAGGAGTCGATAAACCGGTGAAATAGTAGTCAAGTTTTTCTTTTAGTTCTGTACTATTGACTACACTACCAAAGATGGCTTTAACTTGAAAATAACACATGGGAATCAAAAAGTATAAGACAGCACCTACAGGATGCTACGATAACAACCACAGACAGGATCCTCCGCACTTACTCCAAAGGGAGAAGGTGCATTCCCCGCCAATCCGACTGATACACCACATAGAAGTGATATTTCTCCTGAGATATAATTTTACCATTTCTATTGTCGAGTTGTAGGTGGAATCTTTGGAAAGAATGGCCTCGTACCGTTTACACCCTAGGGAAAGTACTGATTCTGTAAAATACTTTAATTAAGGTAACGTAATCTTTGTGATTTGTATAAAAAAGTATGATCGGTTCTTTTTAAGAAGTTGCATTACATTTTTTTATTGAAAGGAGGATATTCTTAAAGAAATCGTCGGTGTAAATTAACTACAAACAAATTTGTATCTTAAGTAATAATCATTACATCTAAAGGAATTTTGGTTTTTTCCATTCTTTTGGAAATTATATATAATATATATCCACTTTAAATGGGATTAGCCCTTTAAATGAAGTTTAAATAGGGGTACGTTAGAAGGAAACGTGGCCACGTATTAGAGGTTGCATTGTACTTTAATGCAAAAAGGAATTTAGACGAGAATTAAAGAAATAGTGGAATTGGATCGTTTTTATTTTGCCAATATGGTGATTTATTACAACACCCAATTTTGTATTCATGTTTAAGATTGGTTCTCTAAACCGTATTATTGTATCTTACGTAAACCAGGCCTTATAACATGGCCGAAAGCTCCGAAAAGCGTTTTTAATTACATTTTAAAATTCCATTATGTTCTTGTCACCCTAAATTGAAATAAGAAAGTGATTTTCATATTATCCTCCAAGTATATACATTACAATGCGGTAACCTGCTTCATAAACCTTCGACGTTAACTCAATATCGTTAGCTTACTGCACTGTATCCTTTGGTTACAAAAAAAACGCATCTGCCGTCATTGCTTTTGTTAATTGGAGTTAAAGCGGCATGCGGTCCATTATATTGGTTTAGTTGTAAACGAGGTGCGCTTAAAGCAATTATCTCATTATTCCGGCATACACTAATGCGATACAATGTGACCAAAACACGTCTGCGTTACGGCTCTATATCTGTTACAAATTGTGCAACTGCTCTGCTTCGTTCGCTGTTCGCCGTTTGATATTTCGTGCGTACGCCAATTACTTTCGACACATTTGGCTGACAAAATGGATCGCCGCTACAAATGTGTACATATTTAATTAACGTCCTTTTTCTCTTTCATCTCTCGTTCTTCTCTCCATTGCCATTTGGAATAATTCGTCTGTGACGTGTTCCACTCTGCGAAAGAAATGCTGCCTTTGCAGCATCTCCCTCTTTATTAACCCTTCATTGTATAAATAACACCCACATTTACAGCTAGCTAGATCATTTCGGAAGATGGAGCAAAGGCAATATTACTGTAGCGAATATTCTAGAAATCCAGAAAGACATCGGGGCGCCACCGATCGGCATCGAGGTGCCATCAATTCGATAAAATATGTGCAGAATAGTTTCCCTTGAGTGAATGAACCAGGTTTGTGCTGAATTCCGTGATTGGGATCGCTAGTTATCCTGCCACTAAAATTATCTCATGGGCATATTTTGGGCATCGTTGTCGTCTGTGGCATATTCTTTTAGGATTTTTTTTTGTGTTTGGTTCTTCTTTTTTTCCTACATTTATCTCTACATTGAACCTTACGACTATTACATCGAGGGATAGTGTATTATAGCGTGGCAAATAAATATTTCAATAGCAATGTCTAACGTTCGTCAGACGGGTACTCGTACTCTAAATTAACACTCATTAAGTACCATTATTTCAACTTAAGTTACCTAAACAAGAGCAAAATTCAACTAAAAGTAATGCCGTATTAAGACAAATTTACAGATAACCACTATGAAAACAGAATCTTCTCTGAAAGGAACAAGTACAGCAAGTACGCAAGACAAAATTAAAGGAGTAAAATTATATGCAGAAAGGTACATACATAGCGTGACCTCTAAGGTAAAAATAAAGGACTATTGTAAATGAATCCTATAATTACTCAACTAACTACTTTTTATAGCTAAACTAAATTATGAAAATTTATTGAGGTGATATAAAGATTACACGTATTGAGACACGCATACAGAATATTTAACATATTAAAATCGCGCTAAAATTTACTGAGCAAATAGATGCACAAGAAGCATACTCGCGTAAAAATTGTACTTTAATCCATGGCCTAAAGGATGAACCTCAAGAAGTGGTGGAATTGCAAGTAGTCAACTTTGTGAAAAATATCCTTAAACTCAAGGATCTTTCATTTGATTTTTCGGCCATCGATAACTGTCACCGATTGGGTCCGTCTGCATCAAATAAGAAAACAGCAAGATCAAATATCGTAAAACTGGTTTCATATTTAGATCGCAGAGCAATTTGGTCGGCGAAGAAACTATTATATCTATTAACCGAGTCTTTAACAAGACCAGGTTAAAAATTTACAATGATCACTTTGGACCGAAAAATGTATAGACTCTGGACGGACGAATTTTTATCAAGCTGCCCAATGGAACTAGGCGCGTCGTGTCTAGGGAATGCAATCTCGCAGCAAAATCTCAATCCCGGTATTTGCGGGATTGCTAGATGTTAATCCCGCGGGATCCCGGTATTTGCGGGATCACGCAAAACTTTAAATAAATTGGCAACTAAGCAATTCTGTGCGGTTAACTTCTGCATTAAAATAAGTCGCTAATTATCACAATATTTAACAAAAAAGTACCTTCGGCCTAACTTAGAACTCAAAAAAACCTCACCTGTAAAGCACCAAAAGGTGAACTTCTAAAGTGCCTCAAAAAACATAGTAAATTTTTAACGAAGAAAGTTTAACAATTACATAAAAAATAACTTCTCCGTTATGCGTTCCATTAACAAAGTAAACAGAGTCGTCCACTTTGTCGACAAATTCCTCAGTCCCGCAAATCCCGCGGGATCCCGCTCCATATATGTGCGGGATTAATCCCGCTGCGGGATCCCGCGATCCCGGTATTGCATTCCCTAAATGTGACCTGTAGAATCCATAATTACAAACAGTTCCAAGATTGGGCTACTATTTCAAAAGTTACAGCCCTTTGAATTTTTTTTCAAAATTGGTTTCTAGTCTATAAATTTTGGTTGAAAGGTCTAATCGAAAAAGTACGATTTGTTTTGGATTCTACGCACCAAAATTAGTAATAAAAAGTGTTTTCCCGAGAAATTTTGGTGCAGTCGATTTTTGGTAAAAAAGGAAGGTTATACACTGCCTTTTTTGAGGCCCTAAAAAAAATTGTCTCAGATCGATCCGGAAAAAATTTTTCTTATAGAATGTGGCCTGTAGAATCCATAATTTCAAACAGTTCCAAGATTGGGCTACTAGTTCAAAAGTTACAGCCCTTTGAATATTCTTTCGAAATTGGTTTCTGGTCTATAACTTTTGATTGAGAAGTCTGATCGAAAAAGTACGAATTGTTTTGGATTCTACGCACCAAAATTAATAAGAAAAAGTGTTTTCCCGAGAAATTTTGGTGCAGTCGATTTTTGATAAAAAAGGAAGGTTATACACTGCCTTCTTTTGAGGCCCGAAAAAAAAATTGTCTCAGATCGACCCGGAAAAAAAATTTTCTTATAGAATGTGGCCTGTAGAATCCATAATTTCAAATAGTTTCAAGATGGGGCCACTAGTTCAAAAGTTACAACCCTTTGAATTTTTTTTCGAAATTGGTTTCTAGTCTATAACTATTGAGTGAGAAGTCTAGTCGAAAAAGTACGAATTGTTTTGGATTCTACGCACCAAAATTAATAAGAAAAAGTGTTTCCCCGAGAAATTTTGGTGCAGTCGATTTTTGGTAAAAAAGGAAGGTTATACACTGCCTTTTTTTGAGCCCCAAAGAAAAATTGTCTCAGATCGATCCGGAAAAAAAATTTCTTATAGCATGTGGCCTGTAGAATCCATAATTTCAACCCAGTTCCAAGATTGGGCTACTAGTTCAAAAGTTACAGCCCTTTGAATTTTTTTTCGAAATTGGTTTCTAGTCTATAACTTTTGATTGAGAGGTCTAATCGAAAAAGTACGATTTGTTTTGGATTCCACGCACCAAAATTAATAAGAAAAAGTGTTTTCCCGAGAAATTTTGGTGCAGTCGATTTTTGGTAAAAAAAAGGAAGGTTATACACTGCCTTTTTTTGAGTCTCCAAAAAAAAATTGTCTCAGATTGCCTTTTTTTGAGTCACGAAAAAAAAATTGTCTCAGATCGATCCGGAAAAAAAAATTTCTTATAGAATGTGGCCTGTCCGAACATTTTGTAGATCAAAGTCTAAATTAATAAAATAGTTCTTAAAAAAAAATTGTTTTTTGAAAAACAGCTAGAGTTTTTATGGCGGGCGCTCTTATGGAAATTTGCATTAGGTGCAGTGGGTAGTTGGGTACAGAAGACTCTTAAGATTTGAGCGTCACATTAAAAACTTTTGGTAAAATATATTATATTTATGTTTGAGAGAGTAGAGCTATATCTAAACAGCTGAAGCAAGGGTTCAGATTTTGGAGCTGTAATTGATGTTACTTAGATATCTGAGAACTTTGTTTATCTGGTTCGGTGAGTTGAGAGCTTCATCCAGGGTGTTTGAGAGACCAAGCTGTCTTCTTGTGTGTGAGTGAAGCTGACATTCCATTAGAATGTGTTTGACGTATAACGCGCTGTTGCAGTGATGACATTTAGGTGGAGATTTTGAATTCATGAAGTGTCTGTGTGTGAGATTTGTGTGTCCAATTCGAAGTCTTCGAATGATTATTTTATCTCTTCTTGTTAATCGAGGGAGGTGAAAAGGCTTGACAGATTTCCGTATCTCGTATAGCTTAGACGGGATTCTGGACCAGTGTTCTTGCCATGTTAGGTGGATCTTATCCTCGAAGAAGTTTTTCAGATCTTTGTATAATTGGATTCCTTCGGTAGGGAGGTTTGCTATTGATGCTTCTTTTGCTGCACAATCTGCTAGTTCGTTCCCAGTAATGCCGAGGTGTGAGAGAACCCATAGTAGGGTTACGTTTACTCCTACAGAAAGAAGCTGCTGGCAGCGTTCGTGTATATACTGGCCTAGGGGATGTGAACTGTAGATGTTTTGAATGGATTTGATTGAGGCGGAGGAATCAGTACATATTGCAACTGTTTTGGAATCCTGAGTTAAAGAGTTGCACGCTTGGAGTATAGCAAATAATTCTCCAGTATGAATACTGCAAAAGGCAGAGGGGGCGTTTGAGGGAACAGTTGTATGGGAGAGAGAAACTGAGCATCGCACCGCATTGCTGTTTTTAGAGGAGTCAGTGTAAAGCACTTGATTGAATTTTGATTTATGCATAAGGTCTACGAAGTTTTGTCTTATGAGTTCGTTGGGCGTGTCGTGTTTGGAGTAATTATTTAGATTCATGTTAGTTTTTGGTAAACATTTTTTCCATGGAGGGGTTGCAGAGCTAGTGATATGTGTCGTCTGCTTAAGGTCTAT